CAGTCTGTGTGCCACGTCTCGCCGCAAACATTAGTTGAATGTTATCTTATTTATCGCAATCTTTTGAAATCATAGAGAAACCCATTTATTTATCTGTGCTGAAAAGCTTTGGAAAGTTTGAATCATCATTTTGTTCGGCAAACGGAGATGACAACGATTTCACTTTGTCATGTAAAGAAACTCAATGAATGCTTTCCCCGGCTCGATTTCCCATCCCACAATTGCAGCAGGATCGATAAAGGGACCAGAATGGGTATGAATTTGGGTTCTCATTCATGAGGCGAGATGAGATTCGTTAAAATCTTCACCATATTTTATGTACGTGTCGCACAATCAAAATTAAATTGTATGACGACACGAATTTTCACCTTTTATTTTTTTGTAATTATAAAAAATGACAACTAATTTCTCCACTTTATTAAAATTTTAAGAATTTAAACCAAAATTAAATAGTCTGACGATACAAATTTTCACCTTTTATTTATTTTTAATTACAAAAAATGAATGAAAATGAAATTCACCTATAAAGCAAAATTAAACATAAAAAAAATCAGAGAGTCGATGCGATACGATTTTTCACCTCTTATTAATGAAAAAATGGTAAAAAATTCCACCCGACTTTCTCCACCCAGTCAAATTTACTAGTGCGATTGGACTTAATAAAATTCAATGACATTTTTTGACCCACAACCAAAACGTGGCATTGAAGTGGTGAACTGCAGATTGATTTTCCACCCGAGAAATTCGTCACCACGTGACACGTAATTATGTCATGAATCGAATCGAACTAATGAAGCCATGTTAGACACCTAACCAAACCTCATTATTTTCACACGCTAAATAATTCCGCACTAAATATTAGCATTTTTCAGTACTGATTGCCACTTAATTGGGAACAAATTTTAGTTCATTAAATCATTTTCCAAAAATGGGTGGGTAAAACCCCTTTATAAGACTGTTATGTCTATGTCCGTCTGATAACTCATGCGCAACGACATACAGACTTGAAACTTAACTTATTTAGCTCAAGGATCAGACCTGATTTGATAATGTGCGATTTATTGACAAGGTCACGGCGCTAGGTCACAGATCATGATTTTTTTTAATTGGAACATCATGTGAGGACTCAAATATATAGTATTTTGAAAGAGCTCTCCAACGGAATTAGTCATTTTGGCGTATGATTTCACCCCTTAATTACATGCGTTGGAAATGTTTACTTTTTTCGCAAATCAGTACCATTTTGATTTCCTTTCACGCCGTTATAAATTTAAAATTCGCAGGAAAAATTTGTCACAGGGATTAATTACTCAGAAACAATTTTTCTGCCTACACGCCACCCAATAAAGCTTTTATTACCAAATTATTAAGAGTGTACACCCTCTTTTTTATTGCGACGTGGTGGAGGTTAACAGTTAATACATATTTGTACAAAGACGTCCCAAATCTCGACCACAATTCTTCTCTTACGTCCAACTTTGTAACTTTGAACAGTCATCATTGATTCCTCGGAAGCCATTCATCTCTCAATTGTGTTCCACCCCCAGAAGCACAAACTACTTCCCTTCCACATCGAAATGCAATTCGTCGTCGAGATAATTAATTTTCCCAATAATGGCGCCAAATTTCAGGAACACATAGTACGGATAATTTGCAACCTTGCAAAATTTACTTTCACAAATTCAAGCGACATTAAACTTTGTAAATTTCGGTTTTGTCTTGAATTTTGGAAATTTAGAAAGTTTTCAAATGTAATTAACCGAATCTGTTCGACGTTTGTAGATATATTCCTGTGTCTCAATTTATATTAAGTTTTGTACAATTAAATTTTCCTTTGAATTTCAGAAATTTGATAATTTTACGAAATTTACTGATGGAGAATTTCCCCGATAAAAATTTCTTTGTAATTTATATTAAATTTTGTAAAGTTAAAATTTACCTTGAATTACAGCAATTTGATAACTTTACAAAATTTGCTAAATTCCTGTCTCAATTTTCCTCACAAATAATTACCCATTTCTAAAGGAATGACGTCCACTTGCCAATTTGACGATGTGACGTTCCACATCACATCACATGGAGAATTTGGCATGTGTGGGCCGCGAAGAAAAATGAGCCAATTTAATAATCCAGCAAATCTACGGTATGACGATGACAAAAGTCCCGGAATAAGTTCACTTCTCGAAAAAGGAAAGAATGGAATTCCACGTGGCACACTTTTCCGGCTAATTAGACAAACCAGCCAAACCGGCCAAAATCTAGTCAAGGATGTGATGCAAGTGTGCAGAAAGTTTCCGCCCGCGTCATCATACACGCTAAAAAATTACGTGGTCACAACCACTACATGCCCGAGTAAAAATTTGAAGTTTTGTCGTGCACAAATTTGGTCCGATTTTCTACAGAAATTTTGCCAATTTTTACAGAGAAACTTTATGAATGTAGCGCGAATATTGCAAAAAACTATGCGCGCAGAATTATGCACCCCATAGAAAATTTGCGCAAGATTATGCAAAAAATACCCACAATACAATATGAATCCCGATTTTATCAAGTACTGCAGAATTCGACACACTGATTTCTACTCGAGTGACTTTACCGATTTGGAGAAAGCGTGTATTTTTGCACAAAATTGCAATATTTATTTATGCATCAAGCGAAATTCAAAATCTGCGAATAACTACTTCTCGTGACAAAGTAAAGATAAGTATTTAATTCCCAAAAGTGGTTGTCACGTTATGCAACTCCTTCTGCCCATTATTATTTCTAGTGCGTCTCTATTATCTATGGGCTCACGCGGAAAAAGAATGCTCACCCCCGAATGGAAATTATTGTATCGAATTCTGCAGTAATGGACAAAAGCTGGATGCATGTATAATTTTTACTGCATAATCCTGCAAAAAATTTCAACGCGTAAATCGTGGCGGGGTGGTTTTAATACAGTGATTAATTACACTTTCTCCACATCATTATTCTCCCGGTGGAGATGGGATGATAATGATGATACTCATCTTCTCATCTCCACCATTCCATTTTTAGTAATGATAATCTGGGTTATTTATAGGGTGTGTAAATTATTGTTCTCTTGGTCTTATCGCCGGCACGGAAAGTAATAAGTTAGAGGGAGATACAGACATGCACAAAAGCGAGGTTGTCAAGAGTACAATATTTTGATAAATTATTCAAAAATATGGCAAATGTCTGAATTATTGCGATAAAGAGATGTAGTGAATAATACCAAATTTTTATAGAAATTAGTGTGTAGTAATCGACCAAAGTGAAGGTGCACTTCGTATTCTGCATATTTTTTACACAATCCTCCAGAAAATTTCTACGTTTTATTCTGCAAAACTGTACGTGAATAATTCTACACAAATCCCTCTGCATAAAGTTCTTCTGCATAAAACCGGACTAAATTTCTGCAGGAAATATGGCCAAATTCTTGCTCGGGTAGGCTCACGCTGACTGACTAACTAACAATCTCCGAAGAAAAAGAATGCTCAATCAGTCACTACCGCACTGCTAAAAAGAATTGCAGGCAGCCTTGAGCCAAATTCTGCGCCTTTCACTTCGCTATCTGCCCATCTTTCAGGGGACGATGAATTCATCGGCAATAAATTCGGCCACATTGGACGGGTCATGGTTCCCCAGACCAAACCACGAGCTTTATTATGCACTCTTAACCATCAACATATTAACATACTCGACAAAAACAACAGCTTGTTGCATTCCGGTGCGTAATTTTATTGCCTACTTTCTCCTACTCTCTGGGCTTTAATCAAGGTTGCAAATTCTTAACTTTATTGCACTATTACAAAGTCTTGGACACAGAAAGTGATAAACTTTACGCGAAATAAACCACGTTGTAACGTTAGAAGTAGCTCGTCCTGTAATAATCATGTCGATATAGGTAGTTTTCCACAACGATGGAAAATAAGTGGAGAAAATGGATACATAATTATGAAAAAATTTCGACTTTTGATGTGTAAATTGTATAATTATTTCTTCTTTGTTTTCTGCATTATTGGTGCGTTTTATATCGATTCCCCGAATTGTTTCGCACCTTTTTTTTACGAGTTTGCATTCAGCAAATTATTTTATGAAATTGTAATATGTATAAAAACTTTCCGATTACCTTGAAAACAAAAATTCCCTTCAATTTTTCTTTTCTAGAACCTCATAAATATCACAAAACTTGTGAACCAATTGTCTGATTACGCCGAGTAGTTAAAAAACGGCTTTTGTGTCGTAACGATGGTGACATTCAAAGCGAAATGATGATCGGATTATAAATAAATATTAACAATAATTGTTATCCTACCATTCAAAACGAAAGAAAACAATATTCCGGCGTCCTCGTTAAGCGAGCAAATCTTTTTCTGAAATCCATATTTTTAATTTTCCCAAAAAGAAATTATTTCACATCTTTCCACAAACTCAACAATTTTAAAACCACTAATAAAGTATCTTAAAATTAAACCCGTATTTTTCCAACTTTTCGTTAGATATAGCATGCACTTGTGTACTTGAGGTTCAGTCAGATGCCACCCGAATGCAAAATATGACACGACTTTCTCCACAAAATAAAACAGCGGAGACATAAATTCACAAATAAATAGCGTTTGGTTTTTCTTGCTGGTTTGCTACATTTCTTGCATTGAAAAGGAAGGTGGAACAATCTGCAAGAAAGTTTAAGAAATATGGGCCATTTAGTCACGTGAATTATTTAATGTGAATTTCTTGCAGGTCAAAATACCCGCAAAAAAACACTTTTTTGTCCTCATTTCTTGCAAGTGGTTCCTTGCATTCGAAACACTGCACATAAATCCTTTCCATATTCCCTTGTCTACTTACTTTCTCTTTTTCCGAAATATGAAATAAGTGCCGAGTTGTGTTTTCACAAAAACACTGCATGCCATTTGTGTGCCTATTCTGTGTGAAATTTGTCTTTGTACCCGGTTTGGAAAAAAGAATGAGGAATAAATGCCTTTTTCTTCACTCACCTGAATACTTGAGTCCCAACTCTTGAGCTAAATTGTCCTTGATCGTGTCATTGATGTTGTTGGACTCGAGATCAAAGCTACCGTAGGACATTTTCTCCTCCTTTAAAAATTCGACGAATGTGGACATGAAGAATTTGCACGTGTGGAGGCCCGACACTTCTTCCAGCCCGTCCTTCTCATACATCAGCATCACCTTCCGCCAGTTGAATCTGCATTAAAGAACAAGGTCAAATTAGTTGTGTAATCGGATGTCGGTGGCTTTAAGATTTTTCTAATTTGGAGGTCTAACTCATCCTATTTATAATTTATTTAAACTCTTAATTTTATCAAAATGCCGATAATTAGCTAAACTGAATAAATTTCACTTGCTTAATTTCCTTCAAATTTAACTCATTTATGGTCAACTTGAAGCTCAATGCTTGCTAATCCATTTCCATGAATTTCAATGAATTTTCATGAATTTCGTTTCCACCCAACTCTAATATCTCGAAATATATTGTTCTTATTACGCTTACTTTTTAAAGTGGGTGAGAATAAAGTTGCCAATTTCGCGGAATCCGTATCCCGTCCGCGTCGTGAGGAAGAATTCCGTCCCGTTGATTGTTTTATTTTCACTGTAGTCACCCGTCAAAGCGCCCGCCGTGAGGAGCGGCAGGTTCCAAAATTTTAGCGCACGAGCCACCGGAGCTGTAAATCAGGAAGGAAAATAGTCAATTTTTTGGCCAAGACTTTTTATTCCTTAAGGTTTTTAAGATTATGCAGATTTTTTCACCGACTTTTATGATTATAATCAGTATATATACTGATTTTTACATTGATTTTTTAACCGATTCTATAGATTTTACCGAGTTTAACACAAATTCTTAAAATTATCTATGCCAATTTTTACACCGATTTTCGAAAGATAATAGTTGCACAGATTTCTGCTAAAAATCGCCAAACATGAGAAATTACTAATAAACCCCGAAGTATTGATCTCTAAAGTTGAATAATAGTGCAAAAAAATTGCGAAATTTTTCTAGATTTTAATTATCAAACATTTTTTTACATTTAAGACTTCGACGTCTTAAAAGTTTTGGAGCTGCATTAATCGCATAAATCAAAGAAACTTTTCGTAATCCATTCCCCATAACTTAAACTTGTGACATGATTTTAGCATAAAAGTCATAAAATTTTTATTTCACAAACTTTACTTTGCGTAAAATGGATGAAATCAAGTTTGGAAAGATTTTTCCTTCAGATTTGTTTAGAGCCAAGCTTTGGCATCGCTGTTCTTGCGTCGTTTCAATTAGTGTGACACGTTTTAATTTATGCATACATTTTAATTAACCTCATTTTAATCTCGGAGCTAATTAAATTAATTATCCGCCTTTTACTCAAGATTCACATGACACGTTTGGTTTATTTGGCATGGTTACGTGCGTACGTCAAAGCTATTGCATAACCTAGCTTAATGTTTGTCAAGGTAAACTGATTACGTAAATTTTAAGCACCTTGAAAACCACAAGTTTAAGATATCGTCACTTCTTACGTCTCACGACAATCTGACACAACTCGTCGCATTCGTTCTTCCAAGGACAAAATTGTATTGACAACAGTGTTTCGGGCGTAACAGTAACCATTTTCAAGAAATGATGGAAAAGAAAGTGGTTTTTTAAGCTAAATATTTTGATCTGCAAGAAATGCAGGCACAAGAAGAATACGCTGCGCAGCTATAAATGGTTCATAGATGGCGTATGTTTCTTGCACTTTCTTGTTGTTTCTTGCACTTTCTTGTAGTTTCTTGCACCTCGCATTTCTTGGGTGGCTTGCTTACAGTGCAAAAAATGTAGCAAACCCATTTGCAAAAAAATAACTGCAAAAAAGTGGTTTCTTGCAGATATTTTGACCTGCAAGAAATTACGCCGCGCCGCTATAAATAATGCATACAGCTCGTGGGTAAATGTAGCATATTTCTTGCAGTTTCTTGCACCTCCCATTTCTTGCATTTGTTGCTTTGCAGTGCAAGAAATGTAGCAAACCCGCAAGAAACCAAACACTGATTGACCAAGATAACTTTTGCATCTAAAAAAATTCCTGCTTTTTACACCTAAAAATTCCTTCGTGATCTTTTTATCGGAAATATTTCCCCGTACATAAAAATGTGCATCTCTCCGAGACATATACAAGCCAGGAATCCCCGTCGTCGCTGCATCATTGGGAATAAAAGAGAGGAAAATAAGCGAGAAAGCGACTCCACTCCGGCACAAAAATCAAACTTTGTCTCTCATCATCCATCCCGACCGACGACTTTCTTCGCCTTTCATCTCCACCAAAATAACGCACCCGGAAAGTTTTCAAAGATAAAAAACCAACTGCAATTTCATCTTTCTTTTTACTCAGCACTGGCGACTTTTGGTCCGAAAAAGTGGCATCGGACCCTGTGCAGAAAGGAGGTCACATAAGTAAATACATATTTCGAAAAAAACGAAGGTTCCCATTTTGTAAAAGCGTCCGAGGTTTTCGGTTAAAAAAAACAAATTTTTCTACGAGCCAGGATTTCTTAATTTTTGCGTAAAAATTAATCAATTGTTCTGAAATGTCCCAAATTCATGTAAATTGTTTAAAGTAACCAAGTTAAATTTCTAAAATTAAATCATAGCAAAAATCGAAAATCCATGTAACGAAAGTTTCTCAATATCGAGAATCAGTTTCTCAAAACCTCCCAATTTCCAAAGCTAGGAAAATTTTGCTAAAATGGTAACGATTATTAATCTAGATTAATTAATCTCTACTCCGTGTCATTATAGCAGATTAATTAATCCTAAGTAATTTAATTCAGTGGCTAAAAGGATAATTTTAATCTTAATTTTAATCTTTGATCGGGAATTTGTAATCCCAAATCTTAATTTGTAATCTCAAAACTTATTAGTTTCCCACCTCTACCGATTTCCACCACATCCCTTCTGCACATCCCCCTTCTCCCGTCCAGCGTGTCTCATCCGCATCATTGTTCATTACGTAACATGTTCATTTCCATGAGCAAATTCCGAAAATTCGGACAAATCAGTAAATCCAAAATGGAATTATGTTTCCAACCGACCGGAAATACGAATCTGTTCAGATGAGCACCTCCATTTCGTTTCATGTCTCGAAAAACATGGACAATCAGAGAAAAGAAAAACTTGACGTTTTCATCTTCTTTTCCTTCTTCTTAACCTTATTTACAGATACATTTCTCCAAATTGAAAATCTTTCTGAACAAGACGAGAAGCAAACTTTCCTCGGATTTTGTTTCATAAAAGGAGCCACAGTGTTTTTGCATTATGGGATTTGCCTCATGGGACGGGATTTAATGGGTGAAATGGGAGACAAAAGAGGGAGTCGTAACGCCATTTTCTCTCAATTTCGTGCACTTCAATTCACCGTTTTCAACCCAAATGTTACCTAATTTTTACTATTATGCACCCATTTTCGTGCACTATTCATAAGAAAATAATTAAGCGGGTTGAATTTAAAATAAAACTCATGTCGTGTTGCGTTTAGAAAATGCACAATTTGACATTTGGCTAATTGTAAGTGCGTGAACCCGTAAATTGAGAATTTTGAGAATAATAAATACACTCGTAGGAAACTGGTATTAAACGTAAACCATTATTGCGCGGTAATAACGGGCATTACCGATTAGTAATGTTATCGTGGCAATGACAAATGTACGTATCACTGAGAAACAAACTACTAACAATCTGGTAAGCAATTACTACCAAATCAATACCAGCAACCAGTCCGGGGCATATTTATATCTTACTTTACCAGATTTTTTATAGAACAATTTGCATCTAATTAATTACGGCACTTGCCAGCCACGTGTTCAGCACGTCGAGTAAATTTTCCATCACGCTTAATTACTTTCCACTCAATAATTAAGGATTATTAAAATAATATTTTGACTGAATCCTTAATTTTTCTTGGCAGAATTTATTAAATCTAATTTCATCCTGGTTTATCTAAACACTGTCCGCAAACCTGTACAATTTTCCCCATTCTCTCGAAACCCTGTCAACAACTTACTTACTTATGTATAAATACAACATTTAAATCGATGTCATAACCCACCCCATAAGTTTCGCTGTACATACAAACTTTAGAAAGATGTAAAATAACGGGACGAGATTCAATCTGGTAGAAAAGTGAAAGTTGGTGGAGAAAGTACGTCTGGACGAAGAACGAGCCAGCCGACCAATTATAGATTTTCTGGCCAACTTAACTCTTCAACTTTCGATCCGATACTTGTTAAGAATGTCAACCCACTTCATCCTGGATGCCAAAGTTATGCAAATTATTGCATAAAAGTCCTCTCTCTCTTGATCCACTTGTCCGAATCATGCAAATCTCGGGGATAAAAAGGCTTTGCAAATCCGTCGGGGCTGTGTGTGACGGATGTTGGCTTGTTTTTTAAAGGGGGTGAAATGATAAATTGGGTATGAATTTAATACTTAATGCTGAATCGCATCCATCCTGCACGACCCATTTTTCGGAGTTTTGTCCACCCGTAAAATTATTGAGACATGTCAAACGCAAAGTATTTAAGATATTTAACGATGCATATTCATGTCAAGTCTAAATCGCTACGTAATAATCGGCAGGGGGCGGATATGTATTTATTTATTGTACCACATAAGGGTTACCCGCAGACAAGTTTTTTCATATTATAAAACCAATACTTGTAAAAAATTCTTTAATTGTTTTACAAAATCTTATCCCTTGTAACAATTTATTTACTAATTTATTCAGAGGATAGACATATATTTATTTTCAACTTTTTCATTTGATGATGACCGACGGTCAAACTTTATCGGTGTGTTCCCTAACTCGTATGGATGACTCAAATTTCAAAATATTTTCACAAATTGTCACTTATTTTTAGGTTTTCAAACATAAATATTTCCGTTATCATTTCAAAAATACGGGAATATTTTACATAGTTTTTTTTCAAAAGAAGCATATATTTTGTAAATATTTCAACGATGTGAGACGAAGTTTTTTGAAGAAATTCTGAGTATTATAGTCAAAAATACATGTGAAAATTTTTATTTTTATGCTTTTTGTATATATATTTTGTAAAATATATATTATATTGCTGAACACGTGACTGGCAAGTGCCGTAATTAATTAGATGCATATTTTTACACTGTAAAAATCTGGTAGAGTAAGATATAAATATGCCCCGGACTGGTTGCTGGTATTGATTTGGTAGTAATTGCTTACCAGATTGTTAGTAGTTTGTTTCTCAGTGATACGTACATTTGTCATTGACATAATAACATTACTAATCGGTAATGCCCGTTATTACCGCGCAATAATGGTTTGTATATATATTTTACATTTGTATATATATTTTGCCTTTGTATATATATTTTGTAGATGTATTTCGTAAATATTCAATTGTTTGCTCAAAGAAATTGGATCGCAAAAATTGTTCAGACTATTTACTTCAAAAACACAAATGTTGTGTCTCAAATTTTCATACATTCTTTGTAAATATGTTGCCTTTTAAAAATTTAAATACGTATTACACCCATTTTTCGCAAATACTTAGCCGCCCTCTGGTTATCAATTTATCATGGATAAAAATCTAGAAAAGAGCACCACACGAAGGATGTTGTCTCACATTTCCTTCCGGCTTATTACCTCAAACTACGTGACGA